ACATTTAGAGATTTAGTGGATGAATTTGCTAAATAAAATAAACTGGTGTTGATTTGAAATACAATTATGAAGCTTAAATATAAGCTAGAAAAAAGTAATGCTTCTTTGAAAATAGATGGGAGTGAGAGTTTATGTGTTATTGAAGAAAGATAACCAAATTTGACAACATATTCCCTGTATTTAATTGTATTTGTGAAGGATTATGAATTAACAAATAGAAATATGCATATGAAGACAGGGTTAAAACGTGTGGAATAGATGGAGGATATATTGTTGAGTGTTGATACACAAACAAAAAAATTTGTAGTTACTTTCTTGAACATCTTTAATGAATATTTTATTTGAAATGTATTCAAATGAAAATCTATATTTTTACAATTAATGATGTATTCATTTCAATATATTACTTTAAAATGCTCTTGTATACTCATTTGAAAGTAAACATGAATACGTCAAATTGATTTTAAAACTTTATGATGTCTAGAATATAAAATTCAAGGTATATAGTTATGATGACTAATTAATTTTTGAAGAAATACAAAATCGTATGATTTTGAAATTGAAATTTAAAATAATCAAATACATAAATACAAACCTTATTTGTAGTTCGTTTGGATGAATACAAAATTAAAAAGAACTGAAAATATTTTTGACATACAAAGTGAACTTAAATACAAAATGAAATACAAAACTAGTTGATATACAATTATGATGAACCAGAAACTGTTTTGGCATACACTAACGACTCTCACTTGTTTTAGTTTATTTTCAACCATAACCATTTGTAATTAGTACTCTACAAAGAGATACAAACTAGAATGTAAGGAATGGAGTTCAAAAAACATTATATAAAATAAAATTAATAGTATATGTCAAACCTTTTTAATGATAAATTCAAACTTCGTAAGGTTAAAGCATTTATTTTGCTAAATAAACTATTACAAAAAAAAATATCAATGTACAATAGACAAAATGATTTAGAACCAAGCAAGATTAGAAAGACTGAACTAAACAACTATTTTATTTCAATTGTTTTAATATCCTTGTGAACTATGTGAGGTCTGTTATGCCTCGGAGGTGCCTAACACTCACTAATGACTCCGACATCTGTTGGCCATAGTTCCAAAAAGGTGCAGTGTATCTTGATCATAGAATTATTGTATTCGAGTTACCTACTGGATTTTTTTTTCCACAAGGCAACTGCTAGGCATAAGCAAACACATAAATACTGCAATCCCTACATACAACAAATTAACAGAAGAATAAAATTAACAAATATATCATAATGAATACAAAACCAAAATAATAAAGTATGAATACAATCTGAAATAACATGAATAATCTTGAAAATGAATACAGCTAAATAAAGTAAATATGTATTTTTAATTGATTGAACACGAACACCACTCGTACAATGTTCTTAGCTAGAAAAGATTACATTGATATGATAATTGATGATTGATGATTGATGATTCCATATATGTGAGTATAATATCCACACTAAAATCATGTCCACAAATACAAAAATAATAATTAAAAAATACATTCGATAGTAACAATCACACGTTATCCATAGACAATAGCAACACTATTCTAAGTCAACATACATACTTTTTAGATTTTGAATACAAAGACAATTGTTACAAGTACTCCGATCCAATCTAATAGAAAAATCAGTTTTTTATGTGTTTTAACAACTTCAATCGAATATTCAAATATTGTGATGGTAATATTTTCAATAAACTTAATATTTCATAAAAATAATTAAATACCTCTTTATCAATTGTTTGGTCTTTATCATTTTTTTGAGTTTCCCAACCGATATACAAAGATTCTACAACTGCTTTAAACTTGAGGAAGATTTTGTATACGGATTGGGTCATGTACATACTTAAATCGTCTCTCTTCCGCAATTTTTAGTCGTTGATCCAATCTTATCTATCATTCCTGGAGTAATAAATAGATTAAAAGATGGAAAATTGCTAAAACATAAACGATTAAGTTAAATGCCTCTTGTAACCCTCTTAGAGTCGGCCATTTGAGAGGGGTTTTGAGGTTTTCCATATCCAAAAACCTAAATTAAATTGAAGAAGTTACTACTCCACTAACTAAACAAACAAATTTTTTTGAAAGATTTAAACAAAAACAAAATTAACAAATCTAAAAATCGGGTAAAGATGCATCTCTTAATCAAAGTGATTGTGATAAATATCTTTAGAGGTATATTTTTCATTTTTTGAAGAAAAAAAACCAAAAAAAGGGAAGAGAGAGAATCTGGGATTGAAAGAATGAAGAAGATCTGCAAAAGAATTTTTTTTTTTGAAAACATATGAAAGAGAATGTATTGGAAACGTATTATTAAGGGAATGTGAGATAATAAAGGAACTAAAATAGGATACATTATATTTTATAAAATATTGTCATTTTGACATTTTTAATAATATTTATAAAGTGTAGATGTTTTTACTAATTATGTTAGAACTTTTGACTAGATTACTAATTTTTCCTTATTTATTTGCTATTATTGTCATTGACTAACACTTTTGGTTGAATTTTATTAATTTCCTAAGGATGGCCATTTCTATAATTTTATTAATTTTATAAATGCATAAATATTTATTTTGCATATATTTTACTACTTAGTTTTTTTTATCGATTTTGAAGAAGAAGAAGAAGAAGAAGAAGAAGAAGATAAATTTTCTTTACTTAGTCAATATTTGAAAATTAAAATAAAAAGTCAGTTGTAGTCAAATCGCCGATCAATCGCGAGTTAGCAGGTGTTCCGAGGACCTAACACCTTCTCGGAATGTATATTTTAACTTCGAACCATTCTTCAACTGATTATATATGTTTAAATCTTTTGAAAATAATTATAAGTTTTTTCTTGATTTTTTATTAAAAATTAAGTGGCAACTCTGTCAACTTGAAAAAATTGATTTCTCTTAAATCATAAGATTAATCGATTTTTCGAAACTTAGTCATTTTTTATTTTATCATATTTTTTCGTAAAACAATGAGTGCTTTCCTGTGAAATTTGTGATTGTTGAATTATGAGATGTTATTGAGAATACTTGATCTGATAGTTGTGTGCTTGGTAAACTGTGAACTGATAGGCTGTAGTGTGGAGGTTCAGATAAGGTGTAAGGAGTACCCGTATTTTGTTCACTTAACTTGTGTTTAGAGGTTTGCTTGTTGGGTAACGCGTGATTTTGTACTCACCCCTTGCTTCTACAAATTTTTGTAGGTTACGAGCTCGGATCTTCGTGATACCTCTCATTCTCTTCGTTTCCGAGGTATCTTGTGGATGATTGTGAGGTAGCTGCTTGTCATCTCAGCAAACTTTCCTACTCCAGTTTATGACTTTATTTTTACTTGAAAGACAACTTCATTTTAGACTTGTATTTTATTTCAATTATAATATTTACATTAAATGCTTGTGCACGTGACCATCTAGTTTTGGGGATTAAATTAAGTTGACTTGTTTTTATAATAGAAAATATTATTGGACTGTTGTTGATTTCCGCACTTTGTTAGATATTGAGTTTTAGGCTGACTTGTCTTGGTGGGATAAGACGAGTGTCATTACATCCATTTTTGGATCGTGACATTAAGCCAAACAAAATTAAGAGAAATAGGAATTCTGTATGTGTCATTTTTTGAATCTTTTTGCGTGGTCAATTCTCTCTTTTGTTCTCTTTTATGTTATTTTTAAATTTTACATTTCCCCCCCAATATAGGTAGTCTCAAAAATATTTGGATATCTAAACCTAAGTATAATGATAATAATAATTATAATAATAATAATAAGAAGAAGAAGAAGATATTGAATTTAACTAATTAAGATATTTATTTTTCATCATTTAAATATGTAAAAAAAATTATTTAAAATTTATTAAAAAGTTATTAATACAAATATTCAATTAATCTGATATTGTACAATAAAAATAATTAAAACATGTGATGATTGACCGATGACGAGGACAAGTAATAGTAATTGTGGATAATGATTATAATAGTGTTAACTAACTATATAGCCATGAATATTAACTATTAAGAGTTACACATTGCGACAAAATTCTACTAAGAATATAATTAAAAAGATTACAAATAAGCATAAAAGAACGATCAGATTTCAAGTTTACATAAATATATATAAATTATGCTAAAAAAATCTCAAATAAAAAAGAAAAAAATAATCACAAGTTTACATTTTAGTTGTTCTAATATTACCCAATTCTTATTACCTTCTTTTTTTCTCTATGAAATTTAACTTCCCGAAGTTTATTGATTTCTTAATGAATTTCATATTTAATCTAAATATTTTTCATAGCTTCTCTTCTGTAAAATTATGTTACTAAAAAAATTTCTTTTTATTAAAGTAATTATTGATATTGGTATATAATTTTATTTTAGGAGAAAGGGTTAAAAATACCTTTCAACTTTGGTTTATTGTTTAACTTTACCTTCGATGTTAAAATGAAATTAATTTTACTCATCGCATTATTAATTTCACCAAAATTACCCCCATTTGACGGAATATTTAAAATTGACCCAAATTACCCAATTTTTCTTTTTAAAAAATAAAACTTTATTTCCTTTTTCTAAACCAATGTCCCCCCCATTTAAATAACCCGATTAACCAAATTAACTCAATATCCTGTTATCCATTCTTCAAACTAAGCTAAAGAACAGAACAATGAAATAAAGAAAAATAGCTGGTGAGACTATTTCTACAAGTGAGAGTTTTAAGAGGTTGGTGCTTTGGAATCTGACACTCGTGCATATGGTGTTACTGGTGTAAGGTCATTCTGCCCATTTCTATCAAAAGACTCTTTTCCCATTTTTATTTTCATGAAGCTTTCAAATATTCTGCTCATAGCTCTAGACTTATTTTCATAATGGTTTATTGCAATAAAATAATAATAATAAAAAAAAAAACCAGAACCAGCCACATTAGGTAGGAATTGAAAATTATCTCATAGTTCGTTCATTTAACAGTAATGACAGTCAATGCATTTGTGAACTCAGCTTCTGATGAAGAAAAAGAGAGAGAATGGGTAAAGGTAGTATAAGGGCCCGTTTCGTCATAAATTTTGCAAGTAAAACTTGGGGGAAAACTTGGCAAATTTTGTTTGTTCATATACTTTTTTATTATTTGGCAAATTTTTTTGACAAATTTTCCAAATTCCCAAATACTAGAAAAAACTAGTATTTGGGCCAAATTTCATTATTTGGAAAGTTTTAGAAATTCAATTTTTACACTTAACTTTTTATTTTACAAAAATTATATATTTATTGACACCAACCAATTCAATTAGATCCCTTCTACATGCGTTCTTTTGATTTCATACATTCCTTTGTTACAGTTAGTCTTAATGAACTAGCTACTAAATAAAACATGAATTGCATTTATTTTATTTTGGTAGATAAATATTACGTTGTTGATGTTGATCTAAGGAACGTAAGAGGATTTTTAGCTTCATTCATTGGAATGCGCTATCATTTGCAGGACTACCGAGGAAGTGAAAGAAAGCCTAAGAATGGAAAAGAGCTATTTAACTATAGACATGCTTCTCTGCGCAATGTAATTGAAAGAACTTTTGGTGCGTGGAAAAGTAGATTCAGAATACTAAGACAAGGCATGAACAACTATGAATGTGACATACAAGTGAAAATAGTAATTGCTTGCGCTGTATTGCATAATTTTTTACGTGAACACCAAAGTAGTGATGGAATATTCAATGAATATGAAAATGATGATATTATTGTTGATGAAAGTGACGAACTACTGGCTCAGGGTAACAACATCGCTTCATCTTCTCGATCGTCTGATTCGAAAATGCAAGCTCATCGAGAAGAGATTGTTCATAAAATGTGGGAAAATTATATTAAAGAATAGGTTGAACTCTTTCAGATGAGAAAATATAGGTTCTTTAATGATTGCAATATTTATTTCCTTTTGTTTTCTTCTCTTTTTTTTCTCCCGAATTTATATTAGTTGTATTTTCATTATCATGATTTGTACCAAGACCTTTTCACTATACGAATATTTACTATAATGATTCTTGTTGATTTGTTGCGGAAGTCATAAATTTTGTTACGTGATATTTCTATTGTGCTATGTAATACAAATTTATGGTTAGTTTGACAGTTTTAAAAACTTATGGGTATAAATTATATTTCTTAAAAAAATGAAATATGTTTCTCAAATTCTATGGCCAAACACATGGTAAAATTTCACCCAAATTTTCATCCAAATAATATTTGTCAAAAATATTTGAATATTTATGGCCAAACGCTAGCTAAGACTCTTGAAGCACACACGTCTTCGTCAACATGTGTGCTTCTTGGCATTAATTTTAAATTATTGGATATTTCTATCACTCTATCTGCTTACTTCAAAAATCTTCTGCTTTACTTTATTATTTATGCACGTACCTTCTTCAAAATAAACCACACTTATTTTCAATAAAAATATGTCAGCCTTCTTCCTTATATAGTATCTATGAGTTTTGTGGGGCCAACTTTAATAGTTTCGTCACTCTTTATTTTCTAATGCACATCCTATTTAAGAAATTGTTATATACTCTAATTAAGAACTTACATAACAAATTTCAATAATTTTTTTTGTTTGTCTTATTTCTTCAACTTTTATATATTTAAAAATCATATAAATTATTAATTTACTGTTTGACAAAATGATAAACTTGGTTAATATTTGAAATTTTATTGATGTCACAAAAAAATGGGGCAAAAAAAAACTTGCATTATTTGAAAATGAAGTAAAAAAGTATTGTAAATCTCTTTAAAATTATATATTTGCCCATAAATTGTTAAAAGAAATAATTAAAAAAACATTTGAAAATTACCCAAAATATTACAAATTATAACAATTAACAACATAAAATATTTAAAACACATAAAGTGTTTGATTGTTTCTCAAAATTTCATTAGTGCGACATAAATGAAGCAGAGACAGAAAAATAATATTATTTAAGGATACACGACAGTGTTATAAATTACAATAATTAATAACTTAAAATATTTACATATCATATTAAAATTTAACTGTCTCTCTAAATTATATATGTCGTATAATTAGAACAGAATACATAACACTTCTATAAATTATAATAATTAATAACTTAAAACATTTACATATCACATTAAAATTTAACTCTCTCTCTAAATTATAAATGTCGTATAAATTAAAATAATCAAATAACATGTCTGCTTGTAGCGAGGGATAACATGGTAATTTAATGTTTTTTCCTTTAATATTTTTTGTTTTATTACTTTATATAAATAAAAAATTATGTAAAAAATATTATAAATCACAATAATTAAAAGCTTAAAATATATAAACATTTTCGTTAACTCTCAAAACTTCATCTATACACATAAATTGGGCTAAAGGGAAAAATTTATATTATGTACAATACATTAAATGTTCTATAAATCATAATAATTACATGTTAAATATCGAAAATAACTTATAATAATACATTGAAAAATACGATAAATCATAATAATTAGCAACTTGAAAAATCTAAGATATATATATATATATATATATATATATATATATATATATATATATATATATATATATATATATATATATATATATATATATATATATTTATTTATTTATTTATAAATAGATTGACTCTCAAATTCACCAGTGTCACTAAATTGATACAAAAAGGAGTAACATATATCATGTAAAAATTATGTAACACGTACAATAAAATGATACTCTCCCTCTCCCTAATTACTTGTCCATTTTTAAATTGATACACCTATTAAGAGAACAATTATTGACATTAAGTTTACCATTTTACCCTTATTGATTATGAATTATGTGAATTAAAAATATAAGGAAGAAGACTAACATATTTTTATTGAAAATAAGTGTGATTTTTTTGTCCACAGTGAAGAAGGTACATGCATATAAATAATAAAGTACAATACAGTAAAGCAGAAGATTTTTGAAGTAAGCAGATAGAATGACAGAAATATTCAATAATTCAATATCAATGCCAAGAAGCACACATGTTGACGAAGACGTGTGTGCTGCAAGAGTCTGATACTATATAGTAATATAGTAATGTATATAGTTGAATAGAAGAGCCAATTTGAGGACCTTAGGTCAGCGACCAATTGACCGATTTACCCTTTTTCTATTTTTTTTCTCTATTTTATATTTAATATTTTTCATTTATTTTCCATTTTAATAAGTTATTTATTTAAAACTATGATTTTTTCGTTTATTTTTCTTTTCAGTATATCATGTGAAAATATTTCTATTACAATAAATTACAATGATAAATAATTTAGAATATTTAACATGCATATTAAAAATTTAACCCTCTAAATTGCACCCATGCCACATAAATAGAAGAGTGAGTTGAGGAGCTTAGGGTTAGTTGGTTAATTGGTCGATTCACCTTTCTCCTCCAATTTCATCTATTAATATTTAGTGGTTATTTTGTTTAATTTTTGTCTTACTTTCTTTAATAGTATGTTACGTATTTAAGAATTATGAAAAAATAGTATTGCAAATCATAATAGTCAACAACTTAAATATTTAGAATATTATACAAAAAAATTGGTTAACTCTAATTAATGTGTTACATATGTGAGAGTAACATATATTATTTGAAAATTAAGTTAAAAGTTTATAAATTACAATACTTAACAACATAAATATTTAAGAATATATCAAAATCTTGATTAACTTTTGAAATTTCAAATATGCCATATAAATTGTGACAAAGGGATACTATATATTATTTGAAAATTACATTTATCAAGAGTATCATAAATTATAATAATTAACAATATAAAATATTTAAATAAATACATTAAAAAATTAATTAACTCTCAAAATATCACATGTGCCACAAATATTATTTAAAAAGTACGTTAAACTTTTTATAAATATAACCAACAAAAATAAATATTTTAAAATGTAAATGACACTCCTAATTCTATGCAAGTCACATAAATTGTATAAAGTACAAAAATTTCATACATTTGGAAGCTAATTATATCTTATCCCGAAAGTTTGTCCAATTACAATTTTTTTCTGATTTTTCGTTGCTCTCGTATACATTCCTTGATTGTCTGATACATTGTAGTTTGTAAATGATACACATTACTCGATGGGAGTAATGTATCTGAGAGGTAATAGATGTATTCAAGAGGGGATAGGAATATATCTGAGAGGTGATAAAGATGTATCCGAGAGGGTATAAGGATGAATCCCTGAAGAGATCTTTATATATAATTTTTTTTAAATGGTAGGAAATTTGGAGACTATAATATTTTTAATTGTATATTTTTGTATATTTTTTCCTAAAATAAAACAAATAAAGTAATATATATTGGGTCTAAGCTTTTGTATCTAATATACACGTATAAAGCAAAAACAAATTGACGAACTAAATAGGCTGGGTGCTTTGTAGAAGAGTGATGAATTAGGATGATGAAGGGTAAAAGAGTCTTTTACTACTAAATAATATCTATTGGACGACCAAGGGTAAAAGAGTCTTTTACTACAAAATAATGTCTATCTATCACACATACTAAAACATAATTTTCTAGAAAGAGAAGCCTAAGAATGACCAAGGGTAAAATAGTCTTTTACCACTAAATAATATCTATTATAAATAGGAATTTTCTAAAATTACACTTTAGACACAAATAAAGAGAACTTTTCTCTTTCCATCACCGCTCACTCTTCATTGTTGTCTCGGTTTCTTCTTCAGCAATTGTCTTTTTCTCTTTTGAATTTTTTTCATCTTCAGTGCTTTTCTTTTAAATTTTTTCATAAATTGAGTATTTTTCAACTTCTAGACCATAATTTATATATATAATTTTTCAATGGTGTTTTCAACGATGCAATGACAATGACTAGTGATTCAAGTTTGATCTCCAATTTGTTGATTTCTTATTGTTGTGCAGGTATATTTGAGGGTTTGGCGTCATTGGTGGACATCGAAGGTCGAAGCAGCACCATGGTTATGGCTATTGTCGAAGCTTTTCCGAGCTTATACTTGATTGTGCTTGATTTCCCTCATGTCATAGGTGACCGTAAGGTAACTGAAAAATTGGAGTTTGTTGCTGGGAGTATGTTTGATAAAATTCCTCATGCTAATGCAATCTTACTTAAAAGTACATATTATTTAGAATTTCGTCAAAAATTGACTCGTTGAAGATGTCTTATTTTTCTATGTTGTTCTGATGAGAATCCAGAAAATTCATACGTTATTACTATATATCTCTCCGCTCAATCAAAAAAATTTAATGTTCGCCAAGTAAGTATTGATCTTTTATGCACAACATTGAATGATTCAAGCAACGTAAGTAAGTGCATATGCAATAATAAAATCTAGCTATATTTACTTACTTCCCATTGAAGAAGAAGACGGTGAGGGACCGATGATTGTTGCAAAACCAAGTCCACATGGAATAGAAAATATGATGCTGAGAGTTATTCGTCCTTGTGCCTCGTAATTAGCAGTGTTCATAACAATAGCTGATACATTATACTTCTGCCCATCGGCGTCGAATAAATCAATCGAAAAAAGGGGAAGTTTAAGCCCCAGTAAGCCACATGAATCATCATGTAAACTATTATAACATTTTCTGCCAAGATGTTTAGGATGACAAAAAATGGACTTACCAATGGAGTGGTGTAGAACGCGAAAACTGACCAATCAAATGTGAAAGATAAAATGCCAAGGCCATGTTGGCCTGACCCAAGTTGGTGTGCTAACACTGATTTTGGAAATGCCAAACAGAGCACAGAGAATGCTGATAAAGTTTTGAAGAATTATCCAGGGACAATGTACCAAGTGAAACTACATATCAATGCTATTAAAAGGAACTTCCCTCTAGAGTAATTGACACCATTTTCTTTCTCATGTAGTGCCCTGCAAAATGTCATCATGAACCAGAATTTACATCGACTATTGTGCGAAAAAGATAGAAGCATAGTAAATAATATCTTACTTCCTGGATCAACAAAGATTGTGATGGAATGGTAAGTACTCCTTCAGAAGTCTCGACTTTGAGCTTTTGATATTGGACAGGGGAGAACAAAAGTAATAAGATGACACAATGGAAGAAGGTGAGCTTTTATACACTATTTTGACAAATTTAAGTACTCCTTCAAATGTCTCTAGTTCAAGCTCAAATATGAAGTTACCTCGATTAGGAAGTGTTTTAGACTCGATAAGAGTATTCGAGTTGGCACAAATATTTTGACCCTCTTAAAATTAGAACTTGAGGACTTTTTACACTAGAAGGTGCAATTTTTTGTTTTTGGTTCTTACCTGAAAATAGAGACTTGAGCAAGGGTAGATGGCCACCACATTTCTGCAGGCTCAACAACATACTTGTTCATAATACCAGCCCAACCATAACCCATAACCTAAATCCATTATAAGATGTCATTAATACAAAACAAAAACAAGAATTTGCTATGAATTTTATTGGTAAATAGTTTGTAACTAATAAGATTAATTATTCTATAATGGTCGCGAATTTGGATTGAAGATTCATTTTTGTTATTTAGTCCCAGAAGTTATCCATGGCTAATTCCTACTATTTTATACTGAATAAAGATATTACTTGGTGTACTAGAAAGTGCTTCTCAATTACCACAAATTACAAAGTGGGTAATCGAACTCTTACGATAAAAGATTAGGTAGTTAAGTAACATAGCTACTAGATTTGCCATTATTATTAGCTTAAATATGTTAAATAATTAATTTTTTTTTAAAATTTCTTGTCAAGTTAAATTGCGAAATCAAACAAATTAAGAAATATACCTTGGTAGTGATGACAAGGATCTAACTAACCAAGAAGGATATTTTCCTGTGATACAAGACCTTAATACTAATAGCATAAGCACATCCATTACCAAATCCAACACCAGCAGTAGCAAAAATTGAAATTAAAACATGTTCTTTCATGCTAAAAGAACCTGGATTAAGCAAAAATTCACTTCATCCAGATCTTGGCAAATGAAACTTCCTCATCGGAAGAACTTTTGCCAGGAGTTCACCTAGTGGAACGACGCAACCTGTGCATTACTCGTACTGATTATAAGTAATTTTGCATGTAACTAAAGAAAATGTTGATAATGACATTAATCCACAAAAAATATTCCCCAAAAACCACATTCAAAATGTACATACTGAAACTGATGGATCGTCATTTGTTGGTACTGTTAAACGAACTTGTTCTATAGGGGACTCGTCCTTGTTCTTCTCCTCTTTCGTAATTTTTCATAAATTGAGTATTTCTCAACTTCTAGACCACAATTTTTTTTATATATACTTTGACTTATTTACATAGAAATCCATTATTAGTCCTATTTTCTTTGATACCTAATTTATATGTATGGATTCTTTTTAATATTCACCAAAAAAAGTATTGATGAAGAGCTAAAGTTTAATGGTGTTTTCAACGATGCAATGACAATGACTGGTGATTTGAGATTAATCTCCAATTTGTTGATTTCTTATTGTTGTGCAGGTATATTTGAGTGTTTGGCGTTATTGGTGGACATCAAAGGTGGAAGCAGCACCGTGGTTATGACTATTGTCAAAGCTTCTTTCGAGCTTGTACTTGATTGTGCTTGATCTCCCTCATGTCATAGGTGACCAAAAGGTAACTAAAACTTTGAAGTTTGTTGTTGGGAGTATGTTTGCTAAAATTCCTCGTGCTAATGCAATGTTACTTAAAGATACATATTATTTAGAATTTCGTCAAATATTGACTTGTTGAAGATGTTTTAGAGGCTCATAAACTAAACTAAGCCATTATATAAAGCAATTTATCAAAATAATATGTTTTTATAAAATTTTACAAAAACTAGTATAAACATATTTCACAGTAACGTTTTAGGGTATATTTTATTTTTTAAAAGCTGACGGCGTTAGGTTGATATACGTTACTCATAGTAATGTTTTACTGAGTAATGTTGTAATAGTAAAGTTTTAGGAGTAAAACATTACTAAAAAAATGTTTTAGAAGTAAGACGTTACTCACAGTATCGTATATCAACCTAACGCTATTAGTTTTTAAAAAATGAAATATACTCTAAAACGTAACTGTGCAATACGTTTATACTAGTTTTGTAAAATTTTGAAAAAATATATTATTTTAATAAATTATTTTATATATTGACTTAGTTTGGTAAAAATTCATGTTTTAGATGACTTAAGTAAAAATTTCAATTTTCTATGTTGTTTAGAGTGTTGGGTGGTCTTGGGCCTTCTCAACCCAAAAGCTAGCTCAAAGGTTAAGGCTTTCCCTCACACTTATAAATTGACCATCAACCCCTTCCACTTCCGATGTGGGATAACTCAACAATCTCCCCTTTCACACATCGGGCCTTGGGCTGGAGAGAACGACAATCCAGTTTCTCCGGTGGGCTGAGACTTGTTAACAACCTGGGCTCTGATACCAGTTTGTTGCGAAAATGCGGACGAGCACAAAAATATATATAGTAAAAGTAATGGAAATAATATGGAAAAATAACGACACCAAGAATTTTACGTGGAAGCCCTTCTGAATAATGGAAAAAACCACGGGCCAAGAGGAGCAATTGATATTACTATAGTAAGGAATTTTACACTGTGTAGTCACGAATACAATACTCAAAGTGACTACTACACACTCAAAAAGAACAACACTCTTTTGGTTTCCGTCTTACTAAAATATAGCTCACACTCTATTTTTCTTAACCGACTATTTTCTTGTATAGTCTATGGAATACCTCACTTTGCTCTCAAAATGTTTTTTCTCTCTAATTTGGTGTGTTCTACAAAAGAGCAAGAGTGCTCTATTTATAGAAGGATAAAACCATGCCTATGTCACTAATGACATATGTAAGCATAGCAAAGTCAAGAATGGTTGCAAATCTTACCAATTTGCCAACTACCAAATCTTTTATTTTCAACTCTAATTAATATTCATTTTTACTAATTGCTTGTACCAATTGAATAGCTAAAGTTGACTAAAAAATGGGATGGATTCAACAAATCTCCCCCTCCAGTCCCATTTAGTGGAAGAAGGTATCTTCAACTTCTTTAGAGAGAGATCATACCCACAAGTTCTTTGCATAAGTCGAACTTGTCTTTCAGTATCATCTTGGTCAGCATATTTGCAGGATTTTTCACTTGTGTGAATCTTTTTGACGTGAAATGATTCATTCTCCACTTTCTCACGAATCCAATGATATCTGACGTCAATGTGTTTTGTTCTTGCATGGTACATGGAGTTCTTGCTCAAGTCTATTGCACTCTGGCTGTCACAATAGACAATATACTCCATCCGATTCAAACCAAGCTCTTGAAGAAATTGCTTTAGCCATATAATCTCCTTGCCGGCTTCAGTAGTCGCAATATACTCAGCTTCAGTTGTAGATAGTGCAACACACTTCTGCAACTTTGACTGCCATGATATAGCTCCTCCTGAAAAAGTAAACAAATATCCAGTAGTGAATTTTTTTTATCAAGGTCACCTGCCATATCAGAATCTGTATAGCCTTTCAAGATTCAATTTGATGCTCCAAAACACAAGCATTCATCTGAGCTTCCTCTAAGATACCTGAGTATCCACTTCACAGCTTCCCTATGCTCTTTTCTCGGATTTTCGAGAAATCTACTAACAACACCAACTGCGTGAGCAATATCAGCTCTAGTGCACACCATTGTATACATTAGACTTCCGACGACAGAGGAATATAGAACTTTGGCCATGTTCTCTTTTTACTCCCTAGCTGTAGGACACATCTTCTTGCTCAACTTCATATGACCAGCAAGAGGTACACTCACAGGCTTCTCATTCTTCATATTGAAGCGCTCCAGTACGCGTTCAATGTACTTCTTCTGGGACAAATAAATCTTCCTTTTATCTCTAAGACAAGTAATTCTCATGCCCAAAATTTGCTTGGCATGACCCAAGTCTTTCATATAAAAGACTTACACAACTCTTTCTTCAGCTCGTCAATCTTGGAAGTATTCTTGCCCACAATCAACATATCATCCACATACAATAAAAGGATCATAAAATCTTTGTCAGAAAATTTTTGTACAAATATGCAATGATCTGAAGAAGTCTTCTTATAGCCTAGCTCCCCTATAACAAATTCAAACTTTTTGTACCACTGTCTGGGAGCTTGTTTTAGGACATACAGACT